CAGTATGTAAACAAATGAGTCTGGGTGTGTGCCAATAAAACTTTATTTGTGGACACTGACGTGAATTTCATGTAACTTTCACATGACAAACAATATCACTCTTTTTAATTATTTTCAATCATTGAAAAATGTAAAAAATGTCAAAAGATTGTGGGCTGTATAAAATGATGCTGGATTTGGCCTATGGGCAACAGTTGGCCAACCCTTGCTCTAGGAAATTAAGAGCATGTGCCCTATGTGCCATGCCTCTGTAAGGACAACTGACAGCCACCTGCATCCTCCCTTGGGCTGCAAAGGAAAGGGAGCGGTGGACCTGGCCTCACTGGAGCTGGCCAAGAAAGACCAGTAGGCCCCTGTCAACAGTTCTGGGAAGCAGCCTCAAGTCTTAAGCTACCTCAGGGAAGCACTAGTCATCTTAGCTCAGGGGCAGCAAACAGCCTGTCATACTTGTGCAGACATCATTAATCAGTTCCCTTGCTACTGAACCAACACAACACTCCAGGGTGCCTTCTGCAGGGTGGCAGCTGGACTGTGTTCAGGCACCAGGCTTTCTCTTGTATCCACCTCCCTCACAACCAAGACTCAAATGACAACATGGCGGAGGTGGTCAGCACTCAGTCCATGGGGGAGCCCAAACATTACTAGGGGGCTGCTCCTTCAGGCCAAGTGTGGGGAGGGCGGTGTCCCATCTGGTTCGTGCCCACCGACTCCCCCTGGCCACCACCAGCACAGATCGGCCCACAGGAACCATCATCCAGGCAGGGCCCATGGAGACAGGGGAAGGCCCTCTCAAGGGGTCGGAAGTAACTTGAGACACAAAACAAAAAGAAACGGTGAGACAGAAGGTTTGAGGGGGTGGAACATGAAGAACTAATTCCTCAGGGTCTTACCTTCCCCCTGTCCTGCTCCCCACGGCTCCCACACATCATGTCTGATTAAAGGAACAAAGAACACTGGTATTTATAAAGTGCCTACTAGGCACTAGGTGCTGTGCTAGGCAGGGGATACTATTCTAATAGTCCTGGAAAGGATGCATTTTTTTGTAGAAGAAAAGACAGGTTCAGACCTATGACAGCTTAATCACTCAGTGCCCCCGTATCTGGTCTGTTAGAGTAAAGTCATTTTCTCTTTCCACTAATGAGAGCCATCACCTGCTCAGTGCCTACTCTTTGTTGTTGTTATGTGCCACTGAGTCGGCCCTGACTCATAGCGACCCCTCCTTGGGTTTCTGAGGCAGTATCACTAAGGAAGTAGATTGCCCAACCTTCCTTCCAAGGAGTGGCTGGTGGGTTTGAACCACCAGCCTTCTGGTTAGCAGTCAAGTGCCTTAGGTACTATGCCATGCCTACTCTTTA